GTATTGCCATAGTTCCATTTTGCCAAATGCAGGAAAGCAGTCTTCCAGTTTTCAGCCACTATAGTTACAGGTGGCTCCATCCCAAAAGAAATTCAGGGGAAGCTGCCCACCAAATGCTCACTGCTCAGCCAATTCTGCGAATCCTGCTGACTACAGCTTTGCCAACTGACCAGCAGTAAACAAAGCAGGGTTGTTTTAGGGCGATGCGCGAGCCCCGTGGAGAAGTTCTCCTTCTAAAGAGACGTGCCGTAGCCTTTTTTTAAGTGTGAGGCCGGCTGCTGGGAAGAGGGGTCAGCACAACCAAACAAGGCCAGCCCACCCTGGGCTTCCTAAGCAGCAGCTCGGATTGTGTTGCAGCTCCACTGGCGGCTAACGTCCGCCAGCAATTGGACCGCTGGAGTGACAGATGCGTCGATTTGCGTTGACAATTTGCCACTCTAATAGCTGCCTGGAGCTTTTGCCTCCCTCATTTGGTGGGCTGATAACCGTGCCCGGCGATTGGTAATGCCAAAGTAACGCAGGCACTCAATCCATCCATCTCTCCAATAAAACACCCAGCTGGGAAAACACAACGCCAATCTTCCCACCAGCCGGTCCCCCACAGCGCCTTAACTCTGAGAGAGGGAGAGAGAGAGAGAGGCAGGGAGAGAGAGGCAGGGAGAGAGAGAAGAGGAAGAGAAGAGAAGAGGAGAGAAGAGGAGAAGAGAAGAGAAGAGAAGAGGAGAGAAGAGAAGAGAAAAGAAGAGAAAAGAAGAGAAAATGGAATGGAATAGAGTAAATTTACAAGAGAAGAGAAGAGAAGAGAAGAGAGAGAAGAGAAGAGAAGAGAGAGAAGAGAGAGAAGAGAAGAGAAGAGAGGAATAGAAAAGAATTGGAATTGGAACTGGAACTGGAACTGGAACGGAATGGAATAGAATAGAATAGAGAATGGAAGAGAAATAGAAATAGGAAGAGAAATGAAGAGAAGAGAAGAGAAGAGAGAGAAGAGAAGAGAAGAGAAGAGAAGAGAAGAGGAGAGGAGAGAGAGGAGAGGAGAGGAGAGGAGAGAAGAGAAAATGGAATGGAATGGAATAGAGAGAATTTACAATTTACGAGAAGAGAAGAGAAGAGAAGAGAAGAGAAGAGAAGAGAAGAGAAGAGAAGAGAAGAGAAGAGGAATAGAAAAGAACTGGAACTGGAACTGGAACGGAATGGAATAGAATAGAATAGAGAATGGAAGAGAAATAGAAATAAGAAGAGAAGAAGAGAAGAGAAGAGAAGAGAAGAGAAGAGAAGAGAAGAGAAGAGAAGAGAAGAGAAGAGAAGAGAAGAGAGGTGGCTGATCCTACAAGGACCACATCAGGTTGAAAGCTACTCAGGTGACCCAACAGAAAAGATGGAAGAAGAACCAGCAGAATTCCAGTCCAGGTCCCGCAATCTGGAGGCTAAACCATCAATGAAGAATTGAGGGAGCTAGGTATGTCCAGTCTAAGGAAGAGAAGGATTAGGGGGGACATGCTAGCACTCTTCTGGTACTTGAGAGGGGATGCAAGAGGGGGCTCGGCCGATTCTCCAAAGCATCGGACAGCAAAAGAAAGCCACAGATGGAAACTTATCAAGGAGACATTTCGATCGGCAGATAAAAACACACAGACAAAATCTTGCCACCTGCGATATAATTTTGACATTGTACAGGTAGTCCTCGATTTATAACAGTTCATTATTCAAAGTTACTGCTTTGGAAAAAAAAAAGGGACTTTTAACTGTTAGAATAGAATAGAATTTTTTTATTGGCCAAGTGTGTTTGGACACAAAAAGGAATTTGTCTTTGGTGCATATACTCACACTTACTACCATTGGCAGCATCCTCCGAGTCATGGGATCAACATTCGGGATGCTCGACAACTGACTCATATTTATAACAACTGCAGCGAGCCACTTAACTGCAGAAAGAAAGTTCATAAAATGGGACAAAAAAACCCCACTTAACAAATGTCTTGCTTAGCAACAGACATTTTTTTGCTCAGTTGTGGTCGTAAGCCGAGGACGACCCTGTGTATGCTCACAGGATTTATTCTGTCCAAAACCCGTGCACAAAACTTTCCAATTGCTCGCCTGTAGGGTGTTGTTTTTTTTTAAAATCATCAATACAGTAGAAACAAAAATATTATTTACAATTTTTAAAATGTATAATATTGAAGTATATCGATGCCTTGCCGGCTACATATGCTGGCGCCCCGGGAGGTGTTAACCACACATCTGGTGTCTGTAAGAGCTTTGAGACCATGATTGTGTTAGATTTCTGTCACAGAGACAAGGTCAAAAGGAAATAAACACCCTGCTTGCTTGGTTAAGCTGCCACAGACCACCCTGCTTGACGAATCTCCTGCAAACCTACAAATTGGATTGCATCAAAGCAAGGAAAGGAAACATCACTGCTGCTGTTAGGTTTTTGTTTTTTTTCACAGCTAGGAAATAAAATTGGATTGTCGGGTAACCTTAATTTACATTCAACTGTACCTATGAATTAAGGACATACGGACATTATGATGTACAAGGAAAGAGTGATGAAGCACCCGCCCCCCCAAAAAACACAAACTCGTTAGCAAAGACTTATAAACAACGCTAATAAAAACCTGCTGATTTATTTGCTATGGCGAAATTCAAACCGGAATCAAATCCTGAATTCTGATTCTTTGGCGGCCCCCAGTGTTCGTGGCGAGCAACGGCACCAGGTCTTTGCTGAGTCAACGGTATTTCGGGCAGAATAGAATAGAATAGAATAGAATAGAATAGAATAGAATAGAATAGAATAGAATAGAATAGAATAGAATAGAAAAACAGAGTTGGAAGGGACCTTGGAGGTCTTCTAGTCCAACCCTCTGCCCAGGCAGGAAACCCTACACCGCTTCAGACAAATGGTTATCCAACATCTTCTTAAAAATTTCCAGTGTTGGGGCATTCACAACTTCTGCAGGCAAGTTGTTCCACTTATTAATTGTTCTAACTATCAGGAAATTTCTCCTTAGTTCTACCCATTGCTTCTTGTTCTACCCTCAGGTGCTTTGGAGAATAGCTTGACTCCCTCTTCTTTGGGGCAGCCCCTGAGATATTGGAAGACTGCTATCCTGTCTCTCCTAGTCCTTCTCTTCATTAAACTAGACATACCCAGTTCCTGCAACCGTTCTTCATATGTTTTAGCCTCCAGTCCCCTAATCATCTTCGTTGCTCTTCTCTGCACTCTTTCTAGAGTCTCAACATCTTTTTTACATCGTGGCGACCAAAACTGAATGCAATATTCCAAGTGTGGCCTTACCAAGGCCTTATAAAGTGGTATTAACATTTCACGAAATTAAAAATCAGATCGTCTCTCAGTTGTAAAACCCGAGACTGATAAGAACTAAGCATGGGGTTTTTTTCCCAACTTAAAACAGTCATAATTTTCCTCCCTTTCCTCAAATCTTACATTGCAAATGCTACAGAATACAGGCGGTCTATGTTTAAGCGAGCACTATTGGCACCAGCAACCTGTAAAAATGGTCGTTAAGTGAAACCACAACTGTGTTTGCAAATCTTCCTTCCGTTTTCTTTTGCTTTGCAGACATGCAAAGGTCGTAAATGTGAGGCCTGGCTGCAAAGTTACTTTTTTCCCTCACGGTTGTGGCCGCGAATGGCCACTAAACAAGGCAGTTGCAAATGCTTTGACGACTGCTTCTTTCAGAAAATGTCAGAGAGAAATACTCTTGGGGCAATAATAGAACCAATTATTTTTCCCTCTCCCCCCCTCTGTTCTTCATATGGGCTAGATATTGGCAATCCGTATACGCGGCACTCATTTTAAAGAAATGCCCCTACGGGCACATACTGCAGTGCTTGTTTCATTGTCGATTTCCAAAATACTGACAGAAGCAAAAGAACTTCTGACTCACTCACTCAAACAAGGCGGTACTCCTCCAGATGGAGAAAAATTAGTTTTGCCATAATCCCAGCAAGAGCCATTTGTAAAAGTTTTTCAGAACTTCCAAGTTTCACAGAAACCTTATTGCAACTTGACCTTCGACGCCAATCACCCAAATTTTAAGCCATACAACCAGCACAGCAAATCTGTTTTTTAAAGAGTCTGAAGCACGAAAGTGATAGATCAATTTTTAAAATACCTTTGTTAAAAATTTTTAAAAAATACAAACCAATCCACCACACTGAATTAAAAAAAAACCTGGTCACTTACCTTTTGGTTTGACCATCCAATTCCGAAGAATAGAAGCATTCAAAATTGGTCGTTTATTTATTAACTTTGGGAAGGAGACAATACAATCACATATATTTTTTCCCTGTTATTTATGACTGCATTTCCCCCCGCTTCTTTGTCCTCTTAGCTTCTTTTCTATAGATATTCTGTCTTCTAAAAGCTTCAAAAGTTTCTACTGTGCGTTTATGCATTTTCAAGCAGGCAGATTTTGACCTCTTCGGCCGTTGTGTAATTCACCAATTCCCAACCATAGCAATTTCCAACTGGGTGAACTTCAACTCCCAGAATTCCCCAGTCATTGATAAGAAAATTCTGGGAATTGAAGTCCATATATCTTAAAATTGCTAAAGTTGGGAAACAGAGATCTAACTACTTCAAGACGCTGCAAAGTTATTTCCTGCGACATCTATTGTACATATGCACACCATACACATGTATCCACTAATTTGACATAATTCTTTTAGCTTTTTCCCCATCCCTATGATAGTAGTTAGCTTAAAAACACTGCAAAGTTTGGACTGCAGAAATTGCAAATTTTGATCTTGCCAAGAGCAGGTCTCAAAACTTGGCATCTTTAAGACTTGTGGACCAATTCTGGCTGGAGAATCCTGGGAGTTGAAGTCCACAAGTCTTAAACTTGCGAAGTTTGGAGACCCCTGGTCAAGAGCATGCCCGTTTCTTTTCTTCCTTTCTTAAACCCAAATGAGGAATGCAAAAATCACATCTGCCATGATCAGCCCCCTTACTAAGTCAAAGTCCACCATTTACTCACCAGCATTGACGATCGCGTCAACCTCCAACTTGGTAATGTCTCCTCGGAAGAGGGAGATTTTCCCGTTCAGATTATTATCCTTGGGGTAATTGGTTTCTTCGGGTTGCTGGATCCGAGCACCTGGCGTGAAAGGGGGGAAGAGATGAAGATGATGATGATGATGATGATGGGGGGAATGAAGATATTTCTCTGTCATTGATTTTAAAACAGCTTTAAAAAAAAAAAAAAAAGACTCACTTTTGGCCATTTCTTTCCATGTGGGGATCTGCTTCACTTTGACGAAATCTTTAGTGAAGTAATGTGCACGACGCTGTTTGTTGTTTAGTCCTTTCAAAAATGCTGAACGGGAAAATAAAGCAGGGGAGGAAGAAAAGAGTGGTTAGTGACCCAAATTCAGGGGGGGGGGAATTCAAGGGAATCTGCATGTTCTGCCCCAGCTACGGACCCCAAAGAACACAACACACACAAAATCTGTACAAACCTTAGTTTACTAATTAAGGACTACTTACGAGCTTTCTTAGTAGTTGTTCGAACACAAGTACAATTTAAATCATTCTTTTCTGAACAAGAGCTGTTAATTTAACTTCATTAACAGCCGACAAGAATCCAAAGAATAATAACTCAATTCTGAGGCACAGTATTTCAGATAACCATAATCTTATTGTGGTTGGCAGAATGCCCAGAAGCAATTTGCAGGAAAACTGATAAGAGAGAAGCAAGAGCCGATCAAATGTTTCTGGAATCAAGATGCGAAGAAATATGAACGAAGTTGTTTCCTGCAAATTGCATCAGTCGTCGTCCTTCCTTAAATAGGCTAGGGGAGTGGCCAATTAGCCTCAAGCCTTACTCTCGAGGAGACCTCCTCCTGAGGAGCCACTTCTGCCTTTTAACAGTTCTGCGAGCTCGTGCATCGAGAAGAGGCTCCTCCTCTTCTTCTGGGAGCTTTTGGAGGTTCTGAAGGCCCTGGCTGAATCCCCACCTCTGGCACCATATCTTCTCCAGCCTCCTCATTGTCTGACTCAAGCACCAGCTGCACAGGCTGCTGGCGCAGCACCACACCAGCCTCCTAGCTGTCGGAATCAGCTACTAACTGCACAGGCCGCTGACGGGCCACAACACTGCAATAATTTACTGTGTACCAGTTAGAAAAGAATCACTTTTAAGCGATTGTATTGCAACTTCAAAAGAAAATGTTTTCAGTACGTAGAAGAGCTGGTTGGTGAAAAATTTTGCTTTTGGAGTAGCTAAAATCTACAACTGAGCATATTTGAGGCCAGGTAGTTCTTGTCTAGTGGAAGCAGCAACTTGGTCATTGAGCAAATCAGTTGCTATGTGAAACCACAATTCTGTTTACAATCCAACTTCACTCTTTCTTTGCTCGACAGACCTGGCAAGGTTGTCCATGCCAGGCCCTGGTCGCAAAGTTATTTTGTGACCGCCATTGTAAGTGTGAACTAAACAAGGCAGTCACCGATGAGGACTACCAATGGCAGCTAGAGCCAGTTTGGTGTAGTGGTTAAGGTGCCAGCCTAGAAAGTGGGTGGCGGTGAGTTCTAGTCACACCTTAACCATGAAAGTCAGCTGGTGACTTTGGGTCAGTCCCTCCTACCTCACAGGACTGTTATGGGGAAAATAAGAGAAAAAATGATTATTATATATGTTCACCTCCTCGAGTTACCTATGAAGTAAAGAATACCCTATATAGTTTTTATACTATGAAGTTCATGTTATAGTTACCTATAAAATTTAAAAAAAAACCAGTTAGGATTGTGTATTATCTATTTTATTATTTAGCTCCTATTGTGTATAGGTTCTGTAGAATTTTATCTTCTTAATATTGTAAACTGCCCAGAGATAGCTTGTATAGGATGGGCTGCCAATAAATTTAATAAGGAAGGAAGGGAGGGAGGGAGGGAGGGAGGGAGGAACAAAGGAAGGAAGGAAGGAAAGAAAGAAAGAGAAAAGAAAGAAAAGAAAGAAAAGAAAGAAAGAAGGAAGGAAGGAAAGAAAGACGGGAGGGAGGGAAAAGAAAGGAGAAAAAGAAAGGAGAGAAAGAAAGAAAAAAGGGAGGGAGGAAGGAGAGAAAGAAAGAGAAAAAAGAAAGAAAGAAAGAAAAATATAATAATACCCCTTACACAGCCCGTACAACACAACACATACAAGTTGCAGGAATGAGGAGATATTAAATAAGGGAATAATACATGCTAACCTAAGCAGAGGTTTTTTGCAACATGGATGTGCAAAAACTGAGGAATTAACTTGCTCGATGATACATGACACACTGCAGTGTGTTGCCCACCGGATTAATCAACTCTTCTCAGAAATTGGAAATTTATTCCCAAGGAAACCCCTTACTTAATGCCAACCTTGGGCACCAAACCTCTTCCAGGCCTCCCCAGGAATATCCCAACCCATAGCCAGGGACATACAGGCCATTCCTGAGTCCTCAATCAGCTCAGCAATGGACAGAGACTCTCCTTTTGGGGAGCAAAACCAGCCTTGGAAAGGGGCCTATTTTCTTAGGCCAGCCATCTCCCAAAGTCCTTCAGAGGCTGGGCTCCTTTTCAACTGCTGGTCCTCAAACCCTTTCAAGGTTTGTTTGTTTTTTTTGAAAACCCCAGCTTTTTGCCAGCAAAAAAAAGCACAAAAATGGTCTTTCAAAGAGGCCATTTTCTCAAAGGATGGATGGCAGGCCTAGTCCATGAGAGGAACCAGGCCCAGGCCGGTTGCTAGGCAACCGAGGCCCTGAGCATTCCATTGCCTGCTCATTGCAAATGGCGGCCTCTTTTTATTTATTTCATTAAATTTAATTTAATACACTTGCCCATCTGTCTCTAAAAGCGATTCTCTCACCTCAGTAACTTTGGGTGGCTTACAAACTTCATAAAGCACAGGCACAAACATTAAACAGAAATTTAACTACAGGCCTAAGACTTACACCCATTTAGGGACCATTAAGTTACAACAACAGTGAAGAAACTGACTTAACGGCTATTTTTTTTAACCCTTATGTTTAAAAAATAAACATTTTAACCATGTCTCTTTTTATCTTTAAGTTAAAAATAAACATGTAACCATGTCTCTTTCTACTGTTGTGTTAAAAAAATAAATATGTAACCATGTCCTTCTTTACAGTTCTGTTAAAAATAAACATTTATCTTAACTGTGTCTTTTTTTTTTTAATCCTTAGGTTAAAAGTTAACATCTTTGTTTTAACTATGTTTCTTTTAACAGTTTTTATATGTAAACCCGCCTACTAGAGTCACTTAGCGGGCAGTGTGGAAACTTAATAAAAAATGGGGCAGAAGCTTGCTTTTCCATGACTAAGAAGAACTGGCAAATTATTAAAAAAATAAACATTTATCTTAACTGTGTCTCTTTTTTTATCCTTAGGTTACAAGTTAACATCTTTGTTTTAACTATGTTAAAACTGTTAACAGTTTTTATATGTAAACCGCCTAGAGTCACTTAGGTGAGGTGGGCAGTGTGGAAATTTAATAAAAAATGGGACAGAAGCTTGCTTTTCCATGACTAAGAAGAATAAATTTGCTAAATGTTGGAAATGCCACCAGACACTTGGGTCATATGTGGTGGACATGTGTAGAAGCAAAAAAAATAAATAAATTGGATAAAAATACAAAGGTTGGTTGGAAAAGATGAGCCTTGGTGGCACAGCAGACTAAAGTGCTGTTAAATAGCACCAGCTGCTTGCAATTACTACAAGTTCAAATCTCACCAGGCTCAAGGTTGACTCAGCCTTCCATCCTTCAGAGGTAGGTAAAATGAGGACCCGGTTTGTGGGGGCAATAAGCTGACTTTGTATAAAAAAAAGAACACCGCTTGGGAGGGCCAAAAGCCCTACTAAGCAGGTATATACAAAAAGTATGAAGGCTATTGCTTAACGCATTGTAAGCCGCCCTGAGTCTCCAGAGAAGGGCGGCATATAAATTGAACCAATAAATAAATAAATGATAAAGCAGCACACTGACTTCCAACCAGAAATATTTTTGTTGGGGATTTTGCCCGAAACTTATAGTAAAAGGAATGCATTTTTAATCATACATGTGCTAATTGCAGCTAGAAACTGGAAGGAGACGCAGCCAGGGAAGGACTTGCAAAGAAACACACACACACACAAATACACACTCACAACCACGCACTCTGCCCTTCTCACTTACATTTAGCCTCCTTCCAGTCAGTGGACGTGGTCAAATCCACCTTAGCAGCCATGGCCAAGGGGGCAGCTGCAGCCCAGCTCCGGATGCCCTGTGCAAACACCCACCGGCTGGCAGCTTTGCCCAAGGGGAACCTGGCCCCGTCCCCTTGCCTCCCACCCGCCTGGCCAGCGATGGGGCGCCCGCCCCACTCCTTCCACAGCCTCCCTAGACTGCCAAGCAACCTAGACTGCTGCTGGAGGGACAGAAACCCGCCTGGCATGGTTGCAAAGCCTCCAGCGGGCAGCTCTGGTTGGTCCCGGGGAAAGGGCAAAGGGATTTTTCTCCCTTATTGATAGATATATATAGAACACCTGGTCCTCGGGCAGCGAGAGCCAAGGAGGGCGCGAGTTGCAACAACAGCAGCTGCTGCTGCTCAACGCACGAGCCCAGCCTCGGTGGCCACGCCCCCGCGCTCGGATCCGAGGTCTTCTGGGAAATGTAGTCTTTGCGAACGCTCCTTAACCACTTCCAGACTTGACATTCTTCAACTCAGACTAGATCACACTAGAGTAGACTAGACTAGACTAGACTAGACTAGACTAGACTAGACTAGACTAGAATAGAATAGAATAGAATAGAATAGAATAGAATTTTGGAATGGAATGGAATAGAATAGAATAGAATAGAATAGAATAGAATAGAATAGAATAGAATAGAATAGAATAGAATAGAATATAGAGTATAGAGTATAGAAGTAGGAATAGAATAGAATAGAATAAAATTTTGGAATGGAATGGAATAGGATTCAGAATAGAATAGAATAGAATAGAATAGAATAGAATAGAATAGAATAGAATATAGAGTATAGAGTATAGAAGTAGCAATAGAATAGAATAGAATAAAATTTTGGAATGGAATGGAATAGGATTCAGAACAGAATAGAATAGAATATAGAATATAGAAGTAGCAATAGAATAGAATAGAATAAAATTTTGGAATGGAATGGAATAGGATTCAGAATAGAATAGAGTATAGAAGTAGAAGTAGGAATAGAATAGAATGGAATGGAATGGACGACGACTGGACTGGACTAGACTAGACTAGAATTGAATAGAATAGGATTTTGAATAGAATAGAAAATAGAATAGAATAGAATAGCATTCTGAATAGAATAGAAAATAATAGGAAATAGGAAATAGAACAGAACAGAATAGGATTCAGAATAGAATAGAAAATAAAATAAATAAAATCCTGCTCCAAAATAATGCTGAGAAAAGAGGTATACGATTGCCTATTCCCTCATGGGCTGAGTTGCCATTTGTTGGCAGCGTCACCGGCAGCTAATTTTAGAAAGGATGTTGACGGAAGGCAAGCTTCTAATTATAGCTGAAAAATTAATCTTGCTGCTTTCTCTCTTTATATACGATGCTCAGAGCAACAGCATCTTGGCCAGCGTTGATTTCTAACCCCCCCACCCCACAAATAAACTGATATCAAAAGAAGATTCAAAAGATATTCGAAAATAAAAGGATTTTAATTTAATTTAAATCTTTTCAGCTTCCTGTTGTTTTTCCAGCCTTTCTACGTTAATTGATGAGCATCAGTGGTAGGTTTCAAAAATATTTTACTACCAGTTCTGTGGGTGTGGCTTGGTGGGCGTGGCATGGCTTGGTGGGCGTGGCATGGTGGGCGTGCCAGGGAAAGGATACTGTAAAATCTCCATTCCCACTCCACTCCAGGGGAAGGTTACTGCAAAATCCCCATTCCCTCCCGATCAGCTGGGACTCGGGAGGCAGAGAATAGATGGGGGCGGGGCCAGTCAGAATTTTTTACTACCGGTTCTCTGAACTACTCAAAATTTCCTCTACCGGTTCTCCAGAACTGGTCAGAACCTGCTGAAACCCACCTCTGATGAGCATCCCCCAATAGTCACGTGATCAAAATTTGGGTGCTTGGCAACCAACATATATTTATGAGCAAAGTATAGCAAAGTCGGATCTGCTTTACAACCGTGTGATTCATTTAGCAACCGCAGGGATTCGCTGAATGGCAAAAAAAAAAAGGCAAAAAATCAAGCAAGACTCACTAAGCAGTTGCCATGCTTAGCAACAGAAATGATGTTCCCCATTGTGGTTATAAGTCGAGGACTCCCTGTACTCTTTATTTACATTTATTTCCAAATAAATCCGGATCCAATGATGAGGCTGTGCCAAATTATAATCCAAGTTTACAGGACTTCATTTAGGAAGGATGAGCCCGTAACTTTCCCATTATGGTTGAGCTACAACCCAGCCTCCATTGTGATTGATGAGGCTGGCTGGGAGCTGTAGTTTATTTTTATCTGGAGAATGGCAGGTTTCTCTTCCCTGACTTAAGACATTCATCCTCAGAGAAGCAGAGTGAAACTGAAACCATGCCAACGAAGGTTTAATTTGCTACTCAATTATTTTACTAGACATTATTATATATCCCAAGTCTTGGAAACCCAATTAAGCATATGCAAATTGTCAAAATGACCCAATGAAGTGTGCAAATTAAAAGCCCAGATGAATGACAAGCAAAAGGAGCAGAAAAAACAGAGGAATTGGCCAAATCAACAAATAAATCAAGGACTGGAGCAAAAAAAATAGGACTGACAAATCAGCTGATAAAGGAAGAAAGATTGAAGAAAATAAAAGAGACAAATCAGCAAATGAACAGACAGGAAGCAGACATGTGGGAGAAGTGGCAATATAAGAATGTATTGGGAGAAATGTTTGGATTAAATAAGAAAGATAGAGATGAAGTTAGAAATAAAGAGGAGTGTGGGAAACAAGTAAAAAAACGGATAAGAATCGAAGCACTATTGAAGGCAAGAGATGACGGTTAAAAATAATTGCTTTCTAAATATTAAGGTAGCTTGATTGTAAGTTGGAGAAGCAGAAATAAATTAGATAGGGGAAATTTGTTTTTCTATGGAATAAAAGAATAATAGAAAGATTAAAGGCTTATAGATGTTAGGCTTTTTTTATATATATTTAAATAATATAAAGAGAATTATTTAAATTCGATGAATGCGAAAAATATTGTGGTAAATTGGATCAATATGAATGATGTTCAGATCTAACCTGTTCACACATAATATGGATGTATACTTACATATATATATATATATATATATATATATATATATATATATATATATATGTTTTCTTTCCTTTTCGTACGCTTTATGTGTATTTCTTTACACATTTCTTTATGTGTATTGTATGGCTAAAGATATATATATATATATATAAACAAATATATACATACATACATACATACACATACATACATACATACACATACATACACATAAAAGCCCAGTTATGAAATTAACACCCAAGCTTTAACCCTTCTCGCAATCAGCTTTTTCTGCGCATTTGACACCACGGTTATGAACTACCTTACATGGTTTTAAGTCTTCTTTCCCATTGTACAACCTGCTCTTTTAAAACGACCACCCTCAAAAGCATCTCAAAATAAAATGATGTGGAATCAGGTAGTTCCCTTTTCAAAAATCAAAAATTGCATTTAAAAAAAAATTGTTCTCAAAGCAGTAAAAGTCCAAAAGGGGTGGACTTCAGTTCCCATAATCCCAGAAGGTAGGAGAATAGTTGGGGATGGGCATGGGAGTTGTAGTCCCACCCATTAGAGGAGAGTCGTTTTGGGAAAAGCCAGAAAAGCATTCGATTTTTTGTAGTTACGTCTTGCAGCTATCGGTGAAATTGTTACATATTTTGTGATATTACACGTATACAAGCTTGGCTAGGTGGCTCAGGGGCTAAGACCCTGAGTTTGTCAATCAGAAAGGTTGGCAGTTCGGCGGTTCGAATCCCTAGTACAGGTCTCCTGTGTGAGCAGGGGGCTGGACTAGATGACCTCCAAGGTCCCTTCCAACTCTGTTACTGTTACCAGATGTATGCAAATTTACATATGCAATTTGAAAAAAAAGACTGTAAGGAGAGAAAGGGGGTTGGACTAGATGACCTCCAAGGTCCCTTCCAACTCTTTTACTGGTACCAGATGCATGCAAATTTGGAAAAAAAAAACTATAAGGAGAGAAAGTGTTTTACTTTCTTGGGGGCGGGGGCAAAAAAAATAAAAACACGGAGAAAAAAAAAATGTCAGGACTACAGTGGAATAAATCAAAACTTCCCAAACTAGAGGACAGGGGCAAAAAACAAAACAAAAAAAACTTCCGGCTTTCCCAATTAAAAAGGAAAAAGCGGAAATGACGTCACTCTCTAAAAAAGCCATTTAAAGCGGCGAGCCAGGCTAGAAATCCGGAAAGCCAATGAGAATCATCGAAGGGAAGGAGAAGTGGGGGGGGGGAGGAAACAAAAAAATAATAATCAAGGCATCTAGCTATTGGTCAGGAGCTCTGATGACGTTAGGAACCCCGTCCCAATAGAAACCCAGCGCGGACTTTTCCCCAAAACCCCGCCCCCTCCCTTTCTCCACAAGCCTGTCAAAAGGCGCGTAGCCAATGACTTTGAGGGAGGGCCGAGGCTTGAACCAATCCGCGCGTCGCAGGAGGGGGTGGGTGGGACGGGAGAAAGGCTGGAGAGGGAAGGCCCGCCCCTCTTTTTTTTTTTTAAGTCTCCCACCAACCAGCCGGAGGGGGCGGGGCGGCGCGCGGGGAGCGGGAGCCAATCGGGCCTCGGGGGCGGGGCGGGAGCATTCTAGCAGGTTCCAGAAGGCGGGGTGGGGGGAAAGGCGGGCGCAGGAAGGAGCCCGAGAGCCAGACGGGAAAAAGCCGAAGGAGAGGCGGAGAATCGGAGGCGGCGGCGGTGGCGGAACTGAGATTTCCCCGGCGCCATGGAGAAGGTGTGTGTGTGGGGGAGGGGGAGAGGGGGGGGGCTCGTGGGGCGGGAGGGAGGGAGTGCTGTGACTCCTGCAAAGGATTCTGGGAAATGCACGTTGGAGGGGGGAGGGGGGGCTTGTCTCCGGGGTCGAAGGTGGGAGTGGGGGGGTGGGGGGGGCTCCATGGGGTGGAGGGAAAAAGGAGGGGAGTCCGAGGCTGAGTGTGTGTTGGGGGGGGCAGCCTCGTGGGGAGGGAAGGAAGGAAGGGGGAGCTCGCAGTGCATCTTGGGAAGGGAGGGAGGGGGAGGGAACCGACAGCCCTTCCCCCACCCCCCACGTGCAGCTCTTGGAAGGGGTGGGTTCCCATCATCCACCCAGCCTGCATGGCCCACTGCCCTCCTGCAGAGTCATGGCCTTACCCATCATCCCCAGCATGCATGGCCCACCCACCTCCTTCAAAATAATACCCTTACCCATCATCCCCAGCATGCATGGCCCACTGCCCTCCTTCAAAGTCATGGCCTTACCCATCTTCCCCAGCCTACATGACTCACCCACCTTCAAAATAATACCCTTACCCATCATCCCCAGCCTGCATGGCCCACCTGCTTCCTTCAGAGTAATGGCCTTACCCATCTTCCCCAGCCTACATGACTCATCCACCTCCTTCAAAACAATACCCTTACCCATCATTCCCAGCCTGCATGGCCTACCCACCTCCTTCAAAGCAATGGCCTTGCCCATCAGCCCCAACCTGCATGGCCCACTGCCCTCCTTCAAAGTCATGGCCTTACCCATCAGCCCCAGCCTACATGACTCGCCCACCTTCAAAATAATACCCTTACCCATCATCCCCAGCCTGCATGGCCCACCCGGCTCCTTCAAAGTCATGCCCTTACCCATCTTCCCCAGCCTACATGACTCACTCTCCTCCTTCCGAGTAATGGCCTTACCCATCATCCCCAGTTCAGCTGGCTTCCCAGCTGTCCACACTAATGGTTGTTGAGAACTTACTAATAATAATTAACTGTTATCAATCTTAACTATTAATTGTGTTAATACAGATAATCACTTTTGAGCCTTCTTAGAGATTTTTGTGGCTTTATCTTGTCCGCTCTTAAGAGCTCGGCAACCACAATATTGGGGTGAGGTCCAAGGGGAGCCAGCCTCGGTCCCCCTCCCATGCTTTTGTAGACTGGGCTACAGCTCCCATCATCCCCAGCCGGGCTATTCTCAGACCGAAGGCAGCCCCAAGCCCCAGATAGCTGGCTGGAGAAACTGTCCTAGAACAGGTTAAGTTTTAAGAGTGTGTTTACAGGTGATTTGCCTTATTGATGGGGCCTTTGACCTATGGATGTTGTGGGTTCTGAATGAAGACAAATTGTGTGTGTGTGTGTGTGTGAATTGATTCTGCTTGGGGGGTGTTTACTGCGCTGACGGCATCTCAAAGTGGACAAATTGGCTCAGATTTATAGGGATCCTGCTCTCTAGTCTGGGATCCTGCCTTTCTTGCAGGCGCTTTCCATTTTTTTTTTCCCCACGGGAATGGGATGCTTTTAAAGGACATTGATCCCATCCAAAGCCGTTTCCTGCCACAGTTCCCACCTTGGTCCGTTGTGGCTGGGTGGGCCTTAGCAAGCTCCGATCTGCAAAGGCGGCTTGTACGAGCGGGTGCCGTTTGGGCATGGAAGGTGCCTCGAATGTAAATGCTGCCTCTCCAGCAAAGCACTGGAAGCTTGGCGCAACCTCTCGGCTCTTTGAAGCTGTTTACGAAGAAGGAGAAGAAGAAGAAGAAGAGGAAGAGGAGGAGGAGGAGGAGGCCCAGCCCTAACTTTGCATGTCGCAGCACGATCGGCATCGATGGAAGGAAGACCTTGCGATCAAACCCTTCCCGAATCAGGGTGTCTTCTTCAGCTGTTTGGGATATGCATGCAGGTGTTGGGTTTGCACATCTGGCTAAGATGAGCTCAGTTTGGGTTTTACAGTGGCGTAAACGAGAGGTCCTTGGCTCTGTTTGAGCTTGGTGGTTTTCTTGCCGACGTTTTATAACCCAACTAGATAACACCATCAGTGCCTGAAGGTAATGGGGATTGTGGAGATGAGGAAGAGGACGACTCTGGGGTCCTTGGTGCTCTCTGAGCTTGGTGGTTTTCTTATTTATTTATTTACTTATTTACTTATTTACTTATTTACTTATTTACTTACTTACTTACTTACTTACTTACTTACTTACTTACTTACTTACTTACTTACTTACTTACTTATTTTATTGATTGATTTATTGATTGGTTCAATTTATATGCTGCCCTTCTCTGGAGACTCAGGGCGGCTTACAATGCGTTAAGCAATAGCCTTCATACTTTTTGTATATACCTGCTTAGTGGGGCTTTCGGCCCACCCCCAAGCGGTGTCCTTTTTTTTATACAAAGTCAGCTTATTGCCCCCCACAATCCGGGTCCTCATTTTACCTACCTCGGAAGGATGGAAGGCTGAGTCAACCTTGAGCCTGGTGAGATTCGAACTCGCAGTAACTGCAGGCAGCTAAGCGCTACTTAACAGCACTTTAGTCCGCTGCTCCGCCAAGGCTCCTTGCCTCCACCAAACCTCTTGCAGACGTTTCATGGCCCAGCTAGGTAACATCATCAGTGCTAGAAGGGAGTGGGGTTTGCTCTCATTTTATATTCTAGTGCCGTGATGGCGAACCTCTTGGGGGTTTGGGTACGCGCATATGCATTAGCACGCATGCTTTGGGCGCACGGCACTGAAAAGGTTAACCATCACTGTTCTAGTGGCTTGCCCTGCCAGAATTTGGGGGAGAGTGGTCTTAAAAGGTTCTTTGCTTGGGCTGCGTACGGTTGGCTCGTTCTGGGATCAAACAGCCCAACCAAGAAACCCTCTAAGGCCGCCCTCCCCCCCACCAACACCGACAGGGCAGCAAGCCACTAGACTATAAAATAAGAGCAAACCCCCTTCTACTAGCACTGATGATGTTACCTAGTTGGGTCACGAAATGTTTGCAAGACAAACAAGGACCCCTAATTTCAACCCTGAGCTACAAATATCCTCCTTTAAATGGCATCAAACTAAGGCCACGATCCTCTCGGCATCCTGGTTTCTGATGCACTAAGTGTCAGGTTTTGATGCTATCTCAAAATAAAGCCAGTTGTGGTTTATTCGGTAAATTATTATTAAACTATTATTAAACAGTGTATTATTACACTGGGCCTGGTGGCTCAGCAGACTAAAAAGCATTGTGGTTAACACCAGCTGTCTGCAATTACTGTAAGTTCGAATCTCGCCAGGCTCAAGGTCGACTCAGCCTTCCATCCTTTCTAAGGTAGGTTAAATGAGGACCCAGTTTGTGGGGGCAATAAGCTGACTTTGTATAAATATACAAAAGTATGAAGGCTATTGCTTAACGCACTGTAAGCCGCCCTGAGTCTCCGGAGAAGGGCGGCATATAAATCAAATAGATAAAAATAAAAAATAAAATGAAATAACCCATGTGCGAACCAGGGTAATTGAAAACAGCGGGTTGCTCTCTCTCTGCTTGGCTAAACAGGTTTGGCCTTCTGCAAAACAGCGTCATCTTTTGGGGGTCAGGCTCGACTCGGAGCTGTGCCCCCTCCCCACTTCTGCCACTAATTAAAACTTTCCTGCCGGCCATCCTAATTGCACTGTTTCCTGGGTTGTGAAAAATGGTGCCCGGGAGGTGAAGCAATTGGCCTTTTAAATCAAGGTGCTAAAAACGGGAGCGAGAGCTGATTTCCGAGCAGAAAAAGGCAAAAAAACAAACAAACCTGTAATGTAAGGCAGCCGGGGCGGATGGGTGTGATTGTGTCAGGGTTTTTACAGCATAGCAACCTGGCTGGGATCCAACTACCTGGCTTGAGCCTTCGGGCTTTTTTTTTTTTTTTGGGTTCCCCCCTCCCCCCTTGCTCCCTCCCAGGGTGATGGGTATCTTTGAAAAGCTTGTATTGTCGTGCCCTTTTTAAAAAAAAAAAACTCGTTTTCCCACATTGCTAAACCGCGGAGGTAAGCGGCGCCCGGAATTCTTGCCTCCTCGGTGACATTTTGTCACGGCTCAAAAGGATGGTTATTCTTGGCCATCTGTAATTTCAGCTGCTGGTTCCCCAGCTGAACGGAGCTGTGACTCAGAGGAAGCTACCTCTGGTGTGTGCTGTTTCCTCTGGGGAGAACGTGAGAATGTGCGGGAGGGACTTTATCCTGGGACTTGCGTCACGGTTCCAGACCCACGGGAGCTGCCAATGCTCGCTTTCAGGGTCCGTGAACAGGTGACGGACAAACACTGATAGATGGATGCAGGTTGGCCCTTCCATCTTCTTAGAGCAGTGTTTCTCAACCTTGGTAGCTTGAAGATGGGTGGACTTCAACTCCCAGAATCCCCCAGCCAGCGGTGCTGGCTGGGGGTTTCTGGGAGTTGAAGTCCACCCATCTTCAAGCTTCCAAGGTTGAGAAACACTGTCCTAGAGGGAAGAACGTGTGAATGTGACTGTTGCACATACCCCGAAAATAAGACCCTGTCTTATATTTTTGTTGTGCCCCGAAATAAGTGCTTGGCCTTATTTTCGGGGAGGTCTTACTATTTTGGGGCGCGTGGAGCAAGATGGGGCTCCTCTTGCTATCTTACCTGATTTCCAGCTCTGCGTTTAAATATTTTCGGGGAGGGCTTCTTTTTGGGGGGGGAGAGAGGGAGCCTTGGTGGCGCAGCGGACTAAAGTGCTGTTAACTAGCACCAGCTGCCTGCAATTACAAATCTCACCAGGCTCAAGGTTGACTCAGCCTTCCGTCCTTCCGAGGTAGGTAAAATGAGGACCCGGATTGTGGGGGGCAATAAACTGACTTTGTATAAAAAAAGAACACCGCTTGGGGGGGCCCCGAAAGCCCTACTAAGCAGGTATATACAAAAGTATGAAGGCTGTTGCTTAACGCATTGTAAGCCGCCTTGAGTCTCCGGAGAAGGGCGGCATATAAATTGAACCAATAAATAAATAAAATTTTAGCGCATGCGCTCAAAAGCCCGATTGGGCTTATTATCAGGGGATGTCTTATTTGGGGGGAAACAGGATAGATAACAGATACCCCGAATGTGATTTTCTTTCATTACCGGTAGTCCTCGGCTTACGACCACAATTGAGCCTCAATTTTCTGTTGTTAAGCGAGAGAGTGAATTTTGCCTCGTTTTACAACCTTTCTTGCCACAGTTCTTAAGGAAATCTTTGCCGTTGTTAAGATGGTTGCAAGGTTGTTAAGTGAATCTGGCTTTCCCCCCCATGGACTTTGCTGGTCGGAAGGTGGCAAGAGGGGATCGTGTGATCCCAGGAGGACTGCAACCGTCGTAAAATATGAACCAGTGGCCAAGCGTCTGAATTTGGATCACGTGATGTTGCAACGGTCGTAGGAGCGGTGCGGTGGCCTACAGGTGGAGCTCCCGCCTCACAATCAGGAGACTGTGAGTTCGATCCTAGGGGTAGAGGCAGGTATTTCTCTCTCTGCGCACAATGAGAATATATCGGCTGAACAAAGCTCTGCATTAGTGACAGGAAAGGCATCCGGCCAGTAAAACGCTCTGCTAGCTCCATTCCGTTACCCAGACTCCACCCTGCAAGGGATTATGGGGTCGTTAAACGAAGATGATGATGATGCAATGGTCATAAGTGTGGAAAATAATCATAAATCGCTTTTTCCAGTACCGTCGTAACTTCGGTCACTAAATGAACTGTTGTAAGTCGAGGACTACCTGTACCAAGATCCCGAGTGACTTCCCAGAATGAAGGACTCAGTGCCTCTTGGCAACACCGGTTTTCCCAGTGGTTTACTCAAAGCAAGAGTTGAATTCCAGTGCCTAGCAGCCCATCCGGCAGAGCCAGCTGTAAAAGGAGGAATAATTTAACAACATCTGGAGGGCTAGAGTTTTTTCTTTTGTTTTTGTTTTTTTTTTAATTCCAGGAGCAAAGCTTAGCAACCACGTGATTCGCTTAACAGCCGTGGCAAAAGAGGTGGCAAAATTGGGCACCGTCTCACTTAGCCACGGAAGTTCCGGTCCCAAATAGGGTTGCAGGTTGGGGTCTATCTGTATTATTCTTCAGACTTTAGGGAAATTTTATTATCCAGGTTTTCAGGAGGCAACTGGACTTTCTTATTTTTGTTGTTGTTTTTTCTTTGAAGACATTTCGCGTCTCCTCCAAGAAGCTTCTTCTACTCTGATTGGATGGCGAGGAATGGAAGGATTTATATTCCTTGCAGTCATCTGGTCATTTGCATCCTTTTAGAGGGTCGTTGAGGCCACTTGGAGGTTTATCTGTGTCCTCTGGGTCACCTGAGTAGTGCAAATAGTTCCTGTAGTTTGCAATTTTTTCCTCTGGAAATCCATTCCTGCTCCCACACCATTCAAAGGGTAAGGTAAAGGTAAAGGTTCCCCTCGCACATACGTGCTAGCCGTTCCCGACTCTAGGGGGTGGTGCTTATCTCCGTTTCAAAGCCGGAGAGCCAGCGCTGTCCGAAGACGTCTCTGTGGTCATGTGGCCGGCATGACTCAACGCCAAAGGCGCACGAAACGCTGTTCCCTTCCCACCAAAGGTGGTCCCTATTTTTCTACTGGCATTTTTTTACCTGCTTTCGAACTTGCTAGATTGGCAGAAGCTGGGACCAGGAACAGGAGCTCACCCCGTTATACGCAGTGCTAGGGATTCGAACCGCCAAACTGCCGACACTTTCGATCGACAAGCTCAGCGTCTGAGCCGCCGAGCCACCACGTTCAAAGGGTGTTCACCCCAAATTGTGTAGCTAAAAGTCTGTAGAGATTCTCAGCCATCCAGGCCATGGTTCTCCCAAAGGTGCTTTTTCAGAAGGCAACTGGACTTCCTTGTTTTTTATTTTTTCCCAGGTTTAACGTCTCACTTCTCTCTCTCTCTCTCTCTCTCTCTCTCTCTCTATCTGTCTATCTATCTATCTATCTATCTATCTATCTATCTCTCTCCAGGTGAACGAACTGAAGGAGAAAGGTAACAAGGCCCTCAGCTCCGGCAACACCGCCGAAGCCATCAAGCACTACTCCGAGGCCATCAAACTGGACTCCGCCAACCATGTGCTCTACAGCAACCGCTCTGCTGCCTACGCCAAAAAGGGGGAGTACCACAAGGCCCTCGAAGACGCTTGCAAGACCATAGAGCTGAAGCCCGAATGGGGCAAGGTGAGACGAGAGGGGTTGCCAGGTGCTTTTGAAACCTCTTCGCTTTGGTGCCGTTGTAAAGGATGAGTCCAGGTAACTCCTGGACTTAACAGCAATCCTCAAAGTCACAACGGCCCTTGGGAAAAGTGACTTACGACCGTTTTTCACACTTACGACCGTTGCCGCATCCCCTTGGTGACATAATCAAAATTCGGACGCTTGGCAACTGACTCATATTAGAACAGCTGCAGAACTCAAAGACTTGGTTCCCTCCATGGGAAGACATTGTAAGGCCCTCATTCATGCTAAAGGTGACCCAACGAAGTATTAACCGACATGGGGATCATTTTGGCATAACTCATTTTTTCTATGGTGATCATTTTTGTATATCTCGTTTTTTCCACATGTTTCACTTTTTTTCTTTATACTGTAACAGCTATTCTAATAGCAAATCCTTCATAAAAGCTATTGCATTACATTCTTGATTAAATCATCTTTCCACTGATATATAATTTTATGGTACTACTCCCCCCCAAAAAAGTTTTGTTATTAGCTAGTTTTAGAAAATACACTTTTCCCGAAAGGTTTCCCCAATTTTGGCCGCTACTGTAAACCAGCATTTATTTCCAAAGGCCCCCTTGGGGTTAAAGAATGCTTAACACACAATTGCAGTTATGCACGACAGCTGTGGATTTGTTTAACGACCGGGTGTGTGTGTGGAGGGTGTCTGGTTTCTCTACGGACGAGCTTTCGTCTTTCTCTGATCTGTTCTCGTGCTCTTTGCAGGGTTACTCTCGAAAAGCAGCTGCCTTGGAATTCCTGAATCGTTTTGAGGAAGCGAAGAAGACGTACGCGGAAGGGCTGAAACACGAGCCGGGCAATGCCCAGTTGAAGGAAGGCCTGCAAAATATGGAGTCCAGGCTGACAGGTGAGGGGAGGGGGAGGAGGAGGAGGAGGAGGAAGAGGGTGTCTCCCTGACTTGGCTAGTGTTAGATTTCTGTTGCAGCAATCCGGAATAGATAGGACCTGTCTCTTGAGCAGAAATGAATAGACTAACACTAGCAGTTAAGGAGAAAGAACAAACTGATTATTATATGATGTGGGAAGCATTTTACCAATGGTTAGAGAATAAGAAAGGAAATTGGAAATAAAGGAAGGAGACAATTAGAAGAATAGAAAATACATTGAGGTAAAGATAAGAATAAAATGGCAATTGATAACATGAGTATGATGGGAATAACCATGTTTAATGTTGTTATTGTATTTTTATTAGAAGACATGTTATGAAGGAAATGAAGAGTTACACAAGGTGTAATCGTTCAATGTATATAATTTGTGGAAGGATGTCGCACAGAAATATTTGTACTCAGGCGACACACTGCTTAAGGAGAGATGAAACATATTTTTTAAAGTGGAAAATAAATAAAAAACATGAACGAAAAAAAGAAAAGCAGGCCAAACCGAGGGCTGTGCAACCTTTCCATGACGAAGGAGGGGTACATATTATTGATCCCCAAAACTGGCTGGGGTCTACGTAAAGGACTGAATAAAAAACAAGATAATGTGGTAGATAGTCATGGGAGTGGTGCGGTGGCCTAGAGGTGGAGCCTCTCGCCTCACAATCCGGAGGCTGTGAGTTCGATCCTAGGTAGAGGCAGATATTTCTCCCTCTGGGCACACTGAGAATATATATCTGCTGAGCAAAACTCCGCCCTGGCGACAGGAAGGGCATCCGGCCAGTAAAACACTCAGCTCCGTTCAGTTGCCCTGACTCCACCCTGCAAGGGATTATGGGGTTGTTAAAACGATGATGATGTGGTAGATAGTCATGGAAAGATCCGGTACAGGGAGTGCTCGATTTACGATCCACATTTGAGCGCAACGTTTCCGTGAAGGTTAAGTGTTGAGTTTTGCCCCATTGTACAACCTTTCTTGCCAACCGTTGAGGGAATCACCGCCATCGTTTAAGTTAGTCACATGATTGTTAAGCGAACCTAGCTCCTTACCGACTTTTGCTTGTCAGAAAGTCCCAATATTGGGGTCGCATGAATCCCAGGACACTGCAACTGCCGTTAAGTATTGCCGAGCCTCTGAATTTTGATCGCGTGACCGTAGGGATACTGCCATTCGGTTGTGGCCCGTCAGCGGCCTGTGCAGATTGTGGCTGATTCTGACAGCGAGGAGGCTGGTGTGGTGTTGCACCAGCAGCCTGTGCAGCTGGCACCCGAGTCAGACAGTGAGGAGGCTGGAGAAGATGTGGTGCCAGAGGCAGAGATTCAGCCAGGGCCTTCAGAACCTCCAGAAGCTCCTTTAAGTGAAGAGGACAAAGAGGAGGAGCCTCTTCTCGATACACGGGCGCGCAGAGCTGCCAAAAGACAGGAGTGGCTCCTCAAGAGGAGGTCTCCTCGAGAGTAAGGCTTGGAACTAATTGGCCATTCCCTTAGCCTATTTAAGGAGGAACGCCGACTGAAGCAATTTGTAGGGAACAACTTTAGTTCATTCTCCTTCGCGTCTGGATTCTCTGCAAATTGCTTCTGGGCTTTCTGCCAACCTTAGTAAGATTGTGATTACTTTATCTTTGGTTTCTTGTAGGCTGTGAAGAAAGTTTATTAACAGCCTTTGTTTGGAAAAGACTGAGTTATTTTAGTAAATATACATTAACGACACACAAGGCATACAATACCCCTGTAGGTTTTTCCACGTTGTAAAGAAGAGAAATAGGAAGTACAAACGCAGCACAAAACGGAGGAGGCAAAACAGAGGAGGGAAAAGCTCCAAGCTGTCTCTTAGGGGTCCCAATACAACAAACACTTCGTTTCAGTTACCAAACGGCCCTCATTGGCGGACCCTGTTGCTACGCCCTATTCCAGCTCACGAATATACTGACGTAAACGAACCGTTGTAAGCCGAGGACATACCTGTCATATGGTTGCTAAGTGGCTTCCCCCGTTGACTTTGGGCCAAAGGGGATCCCACCACCCCAGGACACTGTAGCCGTCATAAATAGGGAGTCAGATGGGTGAGACGTTAAAGCTGAAAAGGGCTTTGGCAACCCCTCCCCCTCCAAGGAAATCCCCCTAAAGACCCTGACTCCTTTCTCTTTTCTCCCCCCCCCCCCCCCACTTCCAGAACGGAATCTCATGAATCCTTTCAACATGCCCAACCTCTACCAGAAGCTGGAGAGTGACCCCCGCACTAGAAACCTCCTCAGTGATCCGAGTTACAGAGAGCTGATAGAGCAACTCCGCAACAAACCGTCGGAACTGGGAACGTGAGTGTCTTCGGTGGGTTTTTGCGGGGGGGGGGAGAGGGGGGCAGAAGGGGGCCTGATCCCTCCCAGCCAAGGTTGCACCTTCCTCGATCGAAACCGGAGGTCTCCTGGCTCAGGAATCCGTCTGCTACCGTTCAGGGTCTTCCTTTACAGAAGGTCTCCTGGGACTTTTTATCTAGAGTTCCCTCCAGGAACTTCAGGATATTAACAGAATAACAGCTCTGTCGGAAGGAACCTCGGAGGTCTTCTAGTCCAACCCCTTGCTCGAGCAGGAAACGCTACCCCATTTCAGAGAAATGGGTTGTCCAAGCTCTTCTTGAAAACAGAGGGAGTGAGGGAAGGAAGGAAGGAAAGATAGATAGATAAAATAACTTATTGTTGGAAGGTGGAAAGTGGAAGGTGAAAGTGTTGGAAGGGACTTGAAAATCTTCTAGTTCAACCCTCTGCTCGAGCAGGACACCCTATACCGGTGATGGCAAACCTTTTTTAACTCGGGTGCCGAAAGCGCCCATAATTTAATGCCCCCCCCCGTGCCCTGCCCCCCTGTGCATGTGCGCACGACATCCCCCGTGCACCCCGTTTTGAGCCTAGCAGGCCTCCCTGAAGCCTCCAGAGACAGCTCGTTTCCAGACTTCCAGTGGGCCCGTTTTTTTTTTTGCCCTCCCCAGGCTCCAGAGGTTTTCCTGGAGCCTGCGGAGGGCAAAAACAGTCTCCCCCACCCCTTTGGAGGCGGGAAATGGCCCATTTCCTGACTTCCGGTGAGCCTGGTAGGCTCTTTTTTCGCCCTCCCCAGGCTCCAGAAGCTTTCTTGGAGCCTGGGGAGGGCGAAAACTCCCTCTCCCAACCCCCTGGAGGCCAAAAATGCCCTCCCAGAGCTTCCACGCGAGCCCTGTACTTACCTGGCATCCAAAACGGGCCACATGGAGACTCCTGGGAGGGGTGGTGTGACGTGGGCAGGGCAGCTGAAAATCAGTTGTCTGGCGCATGTGTGCGTGCTGGAGCTGAGCTAGGGCAACAGTTCGTGTGCCTTCGGTTCGCCATCACAGCCCTATACTGGGCTGTCCAGCCTCTTCTTAAAAACTTCCAATAACGAAGCGCCGACAACTTCCGAAGGCAAGTCCTTCTATTGATCTAGCAATCGTTGAACACTAACTCTAATTCACCTTCATGCTTTCACCCAGCCCCTTGGACTGTGCCTCCCGCAAAGGCACAGCTTTGAGAATTATAGTTTCCTAATCCACATGGGTCGTAAAGGGGAGAGAGAGAGAGCAGCAAAATCCGATTGGCAAGACTATGCAGCCCCGTGGCCCAGTCTAAATAAAAGTGGTCCTTTGCAGGAATGCAGCCAGGTGTTGCCTGTTCTTCAAACCATGTTAAAGCTTGGCTTCCTGCACTGGAGCAGCCTACCAAGGAGATGCTCTGAAGTGCTCAGGCTGGGCTTTTCCCCTGCTTGTCTCCCTGCTGTGTAACAGGAAACTGAAGGACCCCCGGGTCATGACGACGCTCGGGGTGCTGCTCGGAGTCGACTTAGCCAGCGCTGATGATGACGATGAAGCCATGTCTCCCCCGCCTCCTCCGCCCCCCAAGAAAGAGCCCAAGGCAGAACCCATGGAGGAAGACCTGCCCGAAAACAAGAAGCAGGTATCGGCCTCTGGCAAGACTGGCAGCATACGGAATGAAGGGAAAGGGGAAGAAAAGGAAGAAAATTAGAGAGGAAGGGAGATAGAGGAAAGGAAAAGAAAGGATAGAGGAAAGGTAAAGAAAGGAATAAAATTAGAGAGGAAGGAAGGGAAAGGAAGATAAAGGAAAGGAAGATAGAAGAAAGGAAAGGAAAATTAGAGAGGAAGGAAAGGAAGAAAATTACATACGAAGGGAGGGGAAGGAAAGGAAGAAAATTAGAGATGAGGGGAGGGAAAGGAAAGAAAAATTAGGAAAGGAAAGGAAGATAAAGGAAAGGAAGATAGAAGAAAGGAAAGGAAGAAAATTAGAGATGAAAGAAGGGCAAGGAAAGGAAGAAAATTAGGAAGGGAAGGAAAGGATAGAAGAAAGGAAAGGAAGAAATTAGAGAGGAAGGAAAGGGAGATGAAAGGAAGATAGAAGAAAGGAAAGGAAGAAAATTCAAGAGGAAGGAAAGGAAGATGAAAGGAAGATAGGAAAGGAAGAAAATTAGAGAGGAAGGAAAGGAAGATGAAGATAGAAGAAAGGAAAGGAAAATTCGAGAGGAAGGAAAGGAAGGAAATTAGAGAGGAAGGAAAGGAAAGGAAGATGAAAGGAAGATAGAAGAAAGGAAAGGAAGAAAATTCGAGAGGAAGGAAGGGAAAGGAAAGGGAGGAAATTAGAGAGGAAGGAAAGGAAAGGAAGATAGAAGAAAGGAAAGGAAGAAAATTAGAGATGAAGGAAGCAAGCAAAATGAAAATTAGAGAGGAAGGAAAGGAAAGAAGAAATGGAGGGAAGGAAGGCAGGCTTTTAGGTATCTCTAGTCTGATTCTCAGATAGTGGGTGGCCAGCAAGGAAAGCTGATAACTCCTTACTAGGCCCAACAATTTGTGTAGAATTTTCTGCCAAACCAGTCTTAAAATCTCCTTAATCAAGCTGTATCTGCTGATTTTTCAGGCCCTGAAGGAGAAGGAATTGGGGAACGAGGCCTATAAGAAGAAAGATTTTGAAAAAGCTTTGGAACATTACAACAAAGCAAAAAATTTGGATCCAACCAACATGACTTATATTACTAATCAAGCAGGTGAGGTGGGCGGTAGAGGTGGGAACAAGCTCGCAGGTTTAAAAAGAGAGCAGCAAACTCCCCCTCCCTTCTAGCACTGATGATGTTCCCTAGTTGGGTCATGAAACGTCTGGAAGAAAACAAACCAATTCAGAGGACTCTATAGTTCCTTGGCTACGAATATTCTCTTCTATTGGTTTAAACAGGGACATAGTTTAAACATAGTTTTAACAGGGACGCGGTGACTCAGTGGCTACTGAGCTTGTCGATCGAAAGGTCGGCAGTTCAGCGGTTCGAATCCCTAGTGCCGCGTAACGGGGTGAGCTCCCGTGACTTGTCCCAGCTTCTGCCAACCGAGCAGTTCGAAAGCAGGTAAAAAAATGCAAGTAGAAAAACAGGGACCACCTTTGGTGGGAAGGGAACAGCGTTCCGTGCGCCTTTGGCGTTGAGTCATGCCGGCCACATGACCACGGAGACGTCTTCGGACAGCGCTGGCTCTTCGGCTTTGAAACGGAGATGAGCACCGCCCCCTAGAGTCAGGAACAACTAGCACATAGGTGCGAGGGGAACTTTTACCTTTACCTTATAGGTTTAAAACAGCACAACGGGGTGAAGCTGGAGAATTCTGCCGAGTCCCTTGAGGGATAATCTTACACAATTAAATAGTAGCCGTCCCTGTTTCCATAACACACATTTTAAACTGTTGAAAACCTTGGAAATAGTAAATATGAACCCAGGAATTTATTAAAATAGAACAAACTGGCTTTATCTTGTTTCTAGGTAGGTCTGTTGTTTGCAGAATACTCTGGGGAAAACACTCACTGTGCGGCCAAATTTTAGGCATCAGGCAGGCCCGCCCGTGGGTGGACATGATGGAATGCAGGTAGTCCTCGACTCGCAACCACGATTGAATCCCAAATTTCTGCTGCTGAGCAAAACGTTCGAGAGTTTTGCCCCCGTTTTTAACGACGTTTGTTAAGTGAATCGCTGCCGTTGTTAAATTAGTCCACACAGTTGTTAAGCGAATCTGGCTCCCCCGTGGACTTTGCCCGTCAGAAGGTCGCCAGAGGGGGTGACGTGACCCCTCCCAGGACGTAAACGTGAATCAGTTGTCAAGCCTCCAAGATTTTGATCACGGCAAGGCTGCAACAGCCGTACGTTTAAAAAAACCGGTCATAAGTCAATTTTTCTTCCGGTGTCATTCGTAACTTCGGTCACTAAACGAATAGCTGTAAGTCAAGGACTGCCTGTACCATCACCGACCAAGCCTTTTTTTTTTTTTTTTTTTTCCCTCACCCAAAAGAAACATCCCAAAGATAAGAGTGCGAGGAGGTGTTAAGTTTTGTTACTTAGGTTTTGTTGCTATTGCATGGCCCCGTTCAGGGGGACGGATTCCAAAGCCCATCCGCCTCCTCCAGCTAGCGGAGAGAAGACCAGACCAACTTCATCGGGTGGGGGAAGGCCCCCGTAGTTCTCCCAGTCTCGCACTTTTTGTGTTTGTGTCTCTTGTGTGTTTGTTTACATTCTCCCTTTGGCTTTCAGCCGTGCATTTTGAAAAAGGGGAATACAACCAGTGCCGAGAACTCTGCGAACAAGCCATCGAGGTGGGGCGTGAGAACAGGGAAGATTATCGACAGATTGCCAAGTAGGTGGCCGACATTCCTGGGATGGTTTTCTCAATAGTAGCTATTGCTATTATTGCCCTGAGGATGGAATTGGTCCCTTCCAGGCCTGTCACTCAACAGGTGGGCCGAGCATTTTGGCTTGCCCGAGGACTTCTCCCATAGCTGGATGATGACTTGTTGTTGTTGTTGTTATTGTGATTGTCGTTGCGTCTAGAGCTTACGCCCGAATTGGGAACTCCTACTTCAAGGAAGAAAAGTACAAGGAAGCCATTCAGTTTTACAACAAGTCTCTAGCTGAACACCGGACTCCAGAGGTGCTGAAGAAGTGTCAGCAGGCAAGCAGTTCCGAGGGTCTTGTCTGAAGCTCTGGTGGTTTTGATAGGCATTTATTCCTGTTTCTACACTCTTCCAGCTCCTCTTTTTATTTAAATATATATCCCACCTTTATTATTTTTTATAAAGGCATCAAGCAGGCTTAATACCCCTTTCTCCTCCTCCTCCTCCTCTTTTCTCCACAATAGCAACAACCCTGTGAAGTGGGTTGGGGCGGAGAGAGAGGAACTGGTCCAGAATGTGCCTAAGTTGGAACTAGAACTCACTGTCTCCCAGTGATTGGCCCCAAATCACTCAGCCATCTTTCATGCCTAACGCGGGACTAGAACTCACCATCTCCTGGTGATTGGCCCCAAGTCACCCAGTCATCTTTCATGCCAGAGGCGGGACTAGAACTCACTCTTTCCCGGTGATTGGCCCCAAATCACCCAGTCATCTTTCATCCTTAAGGCGGGACTAGAATTCACTGTCTCCCGGTGATTGGCTCTAAGTTACCTAGTCATCTTCCATGCCTAAGGCAG